CACAGAAGACTGGGCGACTTGGAAGGTGCTGAACAGACTGCGCTCTGGCACCACGAGATGCAGAGCCAACCTCAAGAAATGGGGCTACAAAGTGGAATCCACGACATACGAGTGTGGAGAAGAGCAAACCACTGACCACCTGCTGCTCTGAGTCCTTGTAGCAACACCAGAAGCACTCCAAGCGGCCAGCTACTGGTCAAAGGACATTTAATCAACTACTTGCAAACTTTGTGTTTTGTTTGTTTGTTTGTTAAAAATACAATGCAACTGTTTGGTTTGCTCCTGACACAATAAATAAATAAATAAATAAATAAATAAATAAATATTGTGATACTGCAGCATCGAATTGTTGCCAATGTTAGCTGCTCTGAGTCCCCTCTCGGGGGTTGAGAATGGTGAGGAAGAAATGTTGTAAATTAATAATAATAATAATAATAATAATAATAATAATAATAATAATAATAATAAAGCTGTTTCTAAGTTCCTTCCTAAGCCTACGGGATGGAAATCCTTACTCTTTGGAAGAGACCCCAGCTTCAGCACAACACAATTGGAGTAGATGGCATCTACCATGAGCAGAATTCCCTTCTCACTTTCCGAAGCTATTCTACTTCATTAACCCCTCCTAATGAATACCTTTTCAAGCTTAAGCATGAGGCTCTTGCCATCAATTTGGCGTCCATAATGTGGCAAATACTGTAAAATCTGTCCGTTCTGTTTGAAGGAGGCCTTTAAAAAACACTGCACAAATTCTATCCAGAAATCTACTGTGTGACTTTCCCTCCAGATGAAACGGTAGCAAAGCCTTTTCTGAGTTTTACAGCAATTATCTTTTTATCTGCTCTAATGTTTTAAGTTAGCTCTAAATATAGCAATAGATTAGCTGGATGAGTCTAGGCAGACTGTGGCCTTTAAGATCTTTAGGTCTGTAAGCTGGTAAACTCCCTGAAGAGGCACAACACAATTCTTATTTTGAACGACTGTCCTTGGCTCAGTAGGTTCCACTTACATTCTCCTTGAAACTGTCTCTCTCTCCCTCAATCTCTCTCTCTCTCTGTATATAATCAAGCAAGTTCAAACTTGGTGAAAGACACAACAATAACAAGAATGGTAATTTTGCATTATTAACTTGGGAAGTCTGACTTGGTCATGGTGGCCCACGCTCTTGTTACATCAAGGATAGACTACTGCAACATGCTCTGTGTGGGGCTGCCTTTGAAGACTGTTCGGAAGCTTCAAGTGGTCCAACGGGTGGCAGCCAGATTTCTAACTGGGGCAGTGTACAGGGAGCACAAAACTACTTTTGACACCAATTTCACTGGTTGCCAGTCTGCTACCGAGCACAATTCAAAGTGTTGGCTTTAGTGACCATATATTCCAGTCCTGTTGTTTCACCTACACTGCTTTCCCTCATATTGCACTTTTCCCCGTCTTATTGAAAGTCTAATTCCACTGTTCAGTCCCCTATGAGCTCCCCCCCCACAAATTTACCTTTTCATTGCTATCTCATCCAATGTTTGATCACTTGGGTCCCCTCGGGGAGATAGAGCGGTATATAAATAAAGTATTATTATTATTACTTTTATTATTTTATGTTGTCCATTTGGCCCACCCACTCTGTTTTATTTTCCATTATGTTATTTCGTACTGTTTATTTTACTTGATTGGTTTATTTATTTTATTGTGATGTTATTTTGTTGTTTATTTATATTTTATGTTGTCGTAATGTATCTCTGGGCTTGGCCTCATGTAAGCCGCTCCGAGTCCCCTTTGGGGAGATGGTGGCAGGGTATAAATAAAGATTATAATTATAATAATTATAATAATAATAATTGTTATTTAGCCTATAAAGCCCTAAATGGTTCCGGCCAAGCTTACCTGTCCAAACATATGTCTCTCTATGAACTATCTTGGAGATTAAGATCATATGGAGAGGCCCTGCTCTCGGTCTCACCCCCACCACATGCACAATTGGTGGACACAAGAGACAGGGCCTTTTCAGTAGTGGTCCCTCGGCTATGAAACTCCCTCCCTAGTGAAATTAGAGCAGCCCCCTCCCTCCTGACATTCAGGAAGAAAGTAAAAATGTGTTTATGTGACCAAACTTTCAGACAGCAAAGCTTGCAGTGCGATAAGATAATGTGGAATAGTGAATGGACCAATGGAACAACTATGGACTTGATTTTGGATGGCTTGAGGTTTCATGACTGTTTTTAAATCATGTTGTTTATTGGGGTTTTAATATAAATATTATTGTATTATCAATGTTTATTTTTTATGCTTGATATATAAATGTAATTTATGTTTATGTTTTAACTTGGTTAGGTTAATTTATAGGTAAAGGTAAAGGTTTTCCCCTGACATGAAGTCCAGTCGTGTCCGACTCTGGAGTGTAGTGCTCATCTCCATTTCTAAGCTGAAGAGCCGGCATTATGGGCAGCATGACAGCATGGAGCACTGTTACCTTCACGCCGGAGGTTACTTTATAGTTATATGTTATTGTCTTGCTATTTTTTTGTATTCATATGTGTGTATGGCACTGAATTTGGCCTTTATAATGATTGAGTTCCCTTAGGAGGAGAAAAACGGTATATACATGTAGTAAATAAATAAATTTATTTCTAAACGCAGAATGACAAAATAGAAAGTCTAACAAGAAACAGGGGACATCATTTGCTAATTACATATTCCCAGATATTGAAAGATTTGAGTTCGAGGCTCTAAGGTTCAAATCGAAGCATGGAGTCCTTTAATGATGAGGATCTCTCCAGCTTCTACAAAGATAACCACCTGAAGTCCAACCCTGCCAAGACACAAGTGTGCACTTTCCACCTATGTAACCGTGCAGCTAACAAGAAACTGAAAGTTACCTGGGGAGGCCAAGACCTCGAACACTGTTCCCATCCTAACTATCTCGGCGTCAGCTTAGATAGTCTTCAAACATTTAGAAAACACTGTATGAACACCAAGCACAAAGTAGCTGCATGTAATAACATCCTGCGGAAATTTACTGGCAGTGGATGGGGTGCAGACCCAAAATTAAGAAAAACATCAGCCCTGGCTTTGTCTTATTCAACTGCTGAGTATGCCTGCCCTGTCTGGCATAAATCTGCCCACACAAAGCAGGTGAACATAGCACTGAACATGTTTGGGGGAGGATGGACAATGGATGATGGGATTTGCAGTACTTTCAAACACTTCGGCACCCACAGACCACTGTGATGCCCACCAATGACAGATCTGGACCAAACTTGGCACGCAGAGTGCCCATGACCCACTCAACATTTTGGTATGGTTTGGGGGAGGATGGACCATGGAAGATGGGACATGCAGTACCTTTACTCACTTCCTGAAACAATTCAAACCTCATCCAATGACCAATAAAGACCAAACTTGCCACACAGAGCCCCCATGACCCACTCTACATCCTGGTGCAGTTTGGAGGAGGGCAGACCATGGATGATGGGACAGTACTTTCACTCACTTCCTGAGACCACTGCAACCCACATAAATGACTGATCAAGAGCAAACTTGGCACACAGAGCCCCCATGACCCACACTACGTCTAGGTGGGGTTTGTGGGCTAATGGACCAGGGATGATGTGACTTGCAGTTGCTTCACTCACTTCTTAGGACCATTGCAACCCACACCTATGACTGATCAAGACCTAATTTGGCACCCAGAACCCCCATGACCCATTCTACCTTTTGGTGCAGTTTGGAGGAGGATGGACCATGGAGCTATAGTTCACCGACACCCACTAAACCCAGTCAACATTGCATCTAGACTATACTTGGAGCACACACAAACAATGCCTTTCTCAAATAACCCGGGCAGCGCCGGGTCCTCAAGCTAGTAAATAAATAAATGATGGAGATCAAAAAGCACCTCTTGCAGTCATAATGTTAACCAAAAATATAAAATTTGGAGCCAAACAAAGTTTGATTACTAAATTAAATTTCCCATTAAAAAAAACAAAAACCCTGACTGTACAGTAGGCATGTCTGTGAGAACAGACTCCATTTAGTACCTAGATACCAGGGAAACAGTGATGCAAAGTTTTCTTGTGCAATTTTCCTGCGGAACCTACTTCCCAGACAAAAAACCACCAGTCCTTGAGAACCAAAAACAGAAGTGATTTCCACTTTGAAAATATCTAACAGAATAATAAGCACGTCTGGCAGGGATGAGAGACAGGACCTTCTCTGTGGTGACCCCCCAGATGTGGAACTCCCCTGCCTAGGGACATTAGATTGGCCCCCTCCCTCCTGACCTTTTGAAAAAAAAACTGAAAACTTGGCTCTTTGAGCAAGCTTTTGGAACCTCAGACAAACTTGAATCAGAAAATGATCTAGGAATGGCTAAGACGATGGAACGGATGATGACTGAACATGAAGACACAGTTTTAAATTTTTTATTGTTCATTGTTTTTATGCTTTTAAATGTAGTGTGATTTTTTTTACTTTTATCAATGTATGTATTTTATATATGGCATCAAATTGTGCCGACTTGTTCGCCGCCCTGAGCTGCCTTCAAGCTGATATGGGCGGGGTAGAAATAGAGGAAAATAAATAAAATAAAATAAACAATAAGGAAAATGCTTGCCTGCCTTTTGCTGTATTTAAATTCCCTTAAAACCAATATACTATGTCAAAAAGAAACGAAACCCACACAAAGTATACATATTCCAAGACATGTTGGTAAAAAAGCCTCTCTACTATTCAAGGATTTTGAACTCTGTGAATATTTTGCAGATTACAATTTCCTACTGATGCCACTTTTCTCTAAAGACTTTGCCCACAAGCTTAAATATATGTTTCAATTTTTCTATCAACTATTCAGTCACACTGCCACAAAAATATCCATAATAAGTAATCAACAGCTTCCATTATGACAAGGTGATGTCTACCTACCATCCTTGCTGATGTTATAAAGCTTGGAGATTGCAAATTCAAACCAGGGGGGTTATTTAGGATTATTTATTCAATGTATAGGATACATTTCTTCAAAGTAGTCAATGTGTGGTGGCTGAAGAATGTCAAGAGCAGAGAGTACCTAGGAAATAAGAGGAAAGCAGATATGAATACCTCAAATACTCTTTACCTTCAAAACAAAGTTGTAAAAACAAAGATGGTGTAACTTTAATCCATTAGTGGATCCATTGGAGACTCTACAAAAGCTACAATATTCATTATAATCAGGCATTTTGGATCAGCAAAGGCATGCAAAAAATCAGTTATCACAGGGGACAAACAGAAAATAGAACCTGCTTCTGATCATCACTACTAATATTCAGACATTGGTGTGAACCTGTCAGGACGCTCAGTGAACTTTTTCCTATAGTAACTAAATCAACATGTATTACTATTTACATTGTGAAACCAGCATCTTGAAAGAGGAAAAGACATTGTTTTTATTGGGTTGCTCTGAGTTTTCCGGGGATGTCTGACCATGTTCCAGAAGCATTCTCTCCTGATGTTTCACCCACATCTATGGCAGGCATCCTCAGAGGTTGGGAGGTCTGTTGGAAAATAGGCAAGTGGGGTTTATATATCTGTGGAATAATGTCCAGGCTGGGAGAAAGAACTCTTGTCTGATGTTGCAGTTGGCCACCCTGATTATTATTTGTGGTATTTGTTTATTTGTTTATTTATTTGCAGTGTTTGTTTGTTTATTATTTATTTAAAGCATTTATATTCCGCCCGTCTCACCCCGAAGGGGACTCAGGGCGGAGCACAACACATAAACGGCAAACATTCAATGCCGAAACATATAACACCATACACATACAAAAGCATTAAAATCACTTATATTGATGTTAAAATCCACTAGTTAAAACTGTCTCAACAACCATATCGAATTTGGTTGGCATACTAAGGGTTCATATCGATGCCTCATTGCACAGTCCCAAAGGCTGGCCACCTTGATTAGCATTTAATGGCCTTGCAGTTTCAAAGCCTGGCTGCTTCCTGCCTGGGGATCCTTTGTTGGGAGATGTTAGCTGGCCCTGATTGATTCTTGTTTAGAATTCCCCTGTTTTCTGAGTGTTACTCTTTGTTTACTGTCATGATTTTAGAATTTTTTAATACTGGTAGCCAGATTTTGTTCATTTTCATGGTTTCCTCCTTTCTGTCAAAATTCTCCACATACTTCTTGTGGATTTCAATGGCTTCTCAGTGTAGTCTGACATGGTGGTTGTGAGAGTGGTCCAGCATTTCTGTGTTCTCCAATAATGAGCTGTGTGTAGGTTGATCCATCAGGTGCTCTGCTATGGCTGACTTCTCTGGTTGGATTAGTCTGCAGTGCCTTTAATGTTCCTTGATTTGGGACTGGGCAATGCTAATACATTTGGGGTCCCTATGTAGACTTGTCCACAGCTGCATGGATACAGGAGACGCCTGCAGAGGTGAGAGGATCTCTCTTATCCTTTGCTGAACGTAGCATTTGTGGGATTTTCTTAGTGGGTCTGCTTGCCTCAAGCAGACAAGAGTTCTTTCTCCCACCCTGGGCATTCCACAGATCTCACAACCTCTGAGGATGCCTGCCATAGATGTGGATGAAATTTCAGGAGAGAATGCTTCTGGAACATAGAACCATAGAGCTGGAAGAGACCTCATGAGCCATTCAGTCCAACCCCCTGCCAAGAAGCAGGAAAATTGCATTCAAAGCACCTCTGGGGCACAGAGTTCCACTGCTGAATGGCTCTCACAGCCAGGAAGTTGTTCCTAATGTTCAGATGGAATCTCCTTTCTTGTAGTTTGCAGCCATTGTTCCACTGCGTCCTACTCTCCAGGGCAGCAGAACACAAGCTTGCTCCCTCCTCCCTATGATTTCCCCTCACATATTTATAGCTGGCTATCATGTCTCCTCTCAGCCTTCTCTTCTTCAGTCTAAACATGCCCAGCTCTTTAAGCCGCTCCTCATAGGGCTTGTTCTCCAGACCCTTGATCATTTGAGTCGCCCTCCTCTGGACACATTCCAGCTTGTCAATATTTCTCTTCAACTGTGGTGCCCAGAACTGGACATAATATTCCAGGTGTGGTCTAACCAAGGCAGAATAGAGCATGGGGAGCATGACTTCCCTGGATCTAGACACTAGATTCCTATTTATTTAGGCCAAAATCTCATTGGCTTTTTTTGCTGCCGCATCACATTGTTGGCTCATGTTTAACTTGTTGTCCACGAGGACCCCAAGATCTTTTTCACACATACTGCTCTTGACCCATACGTCCCCCATTCTGTCTCTTTGCATTTCATTTTTTCTGCATAAGTGAAGCATCTTGCATTTGTCCCTGTTGAATTTCATTTTTTTAGTTTTGGCCAATCATCTCTCTAATCTGTTAAGATCATTTTGAATTCTGCTCGTGTCTTCTGGAGTATTGGCTCTCTCTCCGAATTTGGTATCCTCTGCAAACTTGATGATCATGCTTTCTAACCCTTCGTCTAAGCCAGGGGTCCTCAAACTTTTTAAACAGAGGGCCAAGTCACAGTCCCTCAAACTGTTGGAGGGCCGGATTATTATTTTTTTTTAAAAAAAACATGAATGAATTCCTATGCACACTGCACATATATTTGTAGTGCAAAAAAAACCCACTTAAAAACAATACAATAATTAAAATGAATCAAATGAATAAATTTAATAAATATAAACTTATTAGTATTTCAATGGGAAGTGTGGGTCTGCTTTTGTCTGATAAGATTGTTGTTGTTGTTGTTGTTATTGTTGTCGTTGTGTGCTTTCAAGTCATTTCAGACTTAGGTTGACCCTGAGCGAGGGCCGGGTAAATGACCTTGGAGGGCCATATCTGGCCCTCGGGCCTTAGTTTGAGGGCCCCTAGTCTAAGCCATTAATAAAGATGTTGAACAGGACTGGTCTTTTAGCCGATCCATGTATGTGTCACAGCAGGCTTCAGGTTAGAAAAAGCATTTCCTCTTCTCTCACACACTAAGGCAGTATCTTTTTTACATTAAGACTTGCCATCTGCAGTATTTATGAAGCACCTGTATTTATAGTATCCTAACTGACCGAGCAGCAAAATGGTGCAGGATTGATTCATTCATGCTCGGTTAAAAAAAAAAAAAGGCTCCACACAAAATAACCTTAAAGCCAATAAACAATTTGAAAAATAAGCTACTGCCAAGGGGAAATGATCAAGGCTATAATTCTAGCACAGGTTGCATTGAAATCAGTGACGTTTGCTTCCAAGCAAAATAGACCAATCTTCTGCCCACTGCGTCTTCAGAGACAAAAGCATGTTTAGATGGAATAACAAGATAAATAAGAAATAATCTGATGAACCATGAGGGAGGCAGTGGCAGAACATTAAGTTGATTGGTCTGTAAGAGAAATGCCCAGTCATATGAACACTGCATTTTCACAGCCATGACTGCTGATGCCTTTATTTTCAAAGGTCGCAGGCCGCATGATGCAGCTGGATGTTCGCTGAGTTGTAACTGGATGGCGACACACTGCAAAGAATTGCAAAACCAACATTTCCAGCAAATGAAGGGCCTCAAACAGTTTCCTTGCTATGTTCTGTATGTCCGAAAGCTCCTAAAGATCCACAGCCTAGGTATGCTTTGAACTTCTTGGGCAAGATCTTCCTGCTACAGTTGTGTAACTGCTCCTTCCTCTTTGCAGTAAATTTAAATGTTGAGGTTTGTGTGTCCCTTGTTAAGATGAGTTCTGAGTATAGTTCTGGAGCATCACACTCCCCTTTGAGATAGCCAAGAAGCCTTTCCATGTGATCCTCCCTCTTTTTTAACTATGGGATTCATTGATGTTGCATGCCTTCAAGTCATTTCTGACTTATGGCAACCCTATAGTGAAGCTATTAGAAGGTTTTATGGGGCTGAGAATGTGTGACTCCTCATGGTTTCCCAGTGGATTTCATGGACCCTGGTCTCCAGAGTCATGGTCAAACACTCAAACCACTATACAAGTACTCATATCCCCTAAGTGGTTGTTCTATTCTATGCTGCATCTACTGAGAAGTCAACAGACACCAAGAAGACTACAAACACAGTCAATTTATACTTATGCTGTCACAAAATCAGCTCAGCTTAAGACAGTTGTTATTTGGGGCGGCAGAGGTAGAAACCAATTTGGTACTACGCGTAAAGACAGATATATATTTCAAATTGCCTGTCTAAAGTAATGTAAGCACCTCTTACTTTTGTCCTTCACAACAATATACCATCTATACCCGAGTATAAGCCGGGTTTTTCAGCTGAAAAAGCCCCCCTTGTCTTATACTCGAGTCAAGGTTATTTATTATTTTACTCTGTTATTACTATTATTTTTATTATATTTATTATTTTACTCTATTTATTATTATGATTATTATTACATTTATATTATTTTACTCTATTGTTTTATTACATTTAATATTTTACTCTACTATTATTATTACAGTTATTATTTTACTCTATTATTGTTATTATTCCATTTATTATTTTATTCATAGAATCATAGAGTTGGAAGAGACCTCATGGGCCATCCAGTCCAACCCCATTCTGCCAAGAAGCAGGAAAATTGCATCCAAAGCACCCCTGACAGATAGCCGTCCAGCCTCTGTTTAAAAGCTTCCAAAGAAGGAGCCTCCACCACACTCCGGGGCAGAGAGTTCCACTGCTGAACAGCTCTCACAGTCAGGAAGTTCTTCCTAATGTTCAGATGGAATCTCCTTTCTTGTAGTTTGAAGCCATTGTTCTGCGTCCTAGTCTCCAGGGCAGCAGAAAACAAGTTTGCTCCCTCCTCCCTATGACTTCCTCTCACATATTTATACATGGCTATCATGTCTCCTCTCAGCCTTCTCTTCTTCAGCCTAAACATGCCCAGCTCTTTAAGCCGCTCCTCATAGGGCTTGTTCTCCAGACCCTTGATCATTTTAGTCGCCCTCCTCTGGACACATTCCAGCTTGTCAATCTCTTCAATTGTGGTGCTCAGTTCTTCCTAATGTTCAGATGGAATCTCCTTTCTTGTAGTTTGATGCCACTCTTCTGCATCCTAGTCTCATTCTATTCTTATTATTACATTTATTGTTTTACTCTATTTATTACTATTATTACATTTAGTATTTTATGTTATTTTACATTTATTAGTTACTCTATTATTACTGTTATTACTACATTTCCATTATTTTACTCTATTATTATTTTTATTACATTTATTATTTTACTCTATTATTATTATAAGCATATTTACACTGAAGAAGGTTAGAATAATGGTTTAATCTGAGTTGGACAGTCTTATCTTAAAATACAATGTTATATAAATATCCAAAAACATTTAACCTACTGATGCCTCAGTTAATGTAATTGTATTGGAATCTATCTTTATTGTGAAATTTAACAGTAGCTGCTGCATTTCCCACCCTCGACTTATACTCAATACTTTTTTCCAGTTTTTTGTGGTAAAATTAGGTGCCTCAGCTTATATTCAGGTCAGCGTACACTCGAGTATATATGGTACGTTTTATTTTACTGTTTTATTATATACTTCACAGAAAACACACACAATATTATATATAATTAGGCAACATCCTTGCAGACGGCCAATTCTCTCACACCAGAAGTGACTTGCAGTTTCTCAAGTCACTCCTGACATGACCAAAAAAAATCCAAGAAACTCTAGTGCGAGGCAAACATGAAATAAAGAACAAATAGGAACGTAAGTAAACAACAAATCACCTTTTCCCTACCTACTTTTTCCTAATGGAAAGTTCTGTAAATGATATTACACAGGGGTTTTTTTTGTCTAATACTTACAATAAGTGCTTAACATTTAACATACATTCTTTGGTTGTAATTTAAGACTGGCTTCAAACTAGTGTCTTACAGAGAGGCAGTTGGAGCTGAAAGATAGATCGCTCGCTTTGGGCTATGTGGAAATTTTACAACTGAGATGAGATCTAAGAAAGCTCAGGGAACATATAAGGGGATTCTGGGGCCAAGCTGTTATAGGTCCATCTCTTGCTGGAAAAGATATGCAACTACTTAGAAATGAGAAGGACTCACTCAAGTGCCACAGAGAGGCTTTTCTGAAGACGTGTCATAGGAAAGTACTGACGTGTAACTCACTACTTTTAAGCATGTAGCTCAAACATGTTTATTTATTTATTTATTTATTTATTTACTGTACTTGTATACCGCTGTTTCTCAGCCTAGCTGGCGACTCAACGCGGTTTACAACAAAATACCAAATACAATAGTCAACAGTATACAATTTAAAACCATAAAAACATAATACACAATATTGGTATATCAATAACAATCCAATGCATCTCCTGACTAAAATCGTGATCCAGTTTCGTCGTCCATATTACCAATCCTTTAATCATCACATTCATTGCACCGAATTAACCAAATGCCTGTCCGAACATCCAGGTTTTTAATCTTCTTCGGAACACCATCAGCGAGGGGGCTGATCTTACCTCCATGGGAAGGGCGTTCCATAGTCGAGGGGCCACCACAGAAAAGGCCCTGTCTCTCGTCCCCGCCAGCCGCACCTGTGAAGCAGGCGGGATAGAGAGCAGGGCCTCCCCAGAAGATCTTAGGGTCCTGGTGGGCTGATAGGCCGAGATACGTTCGGATAGGTAAGTTGGGCCAGAACCGTTTAGGGCTTTAAAGGCCAACGCCAGCACTTTGAATTGAGCCCGGTAGCAAATCGGCAGCCAGTGGAGCTGGTGCAGCAGAGGAGTTGTATGCTCCCTGCGCTCCGCTCCTATTAGTATCATGGCTGCCGAACGTTGGACTAATTGGAGCTTCCGAGCCGTCTTCAAAGGCAACCCCACGTAGAGAGCGTTGCAGTAAAGTAACCAGAGCGTGGACTACCGTGGCCAAGTCAGACTTCCCAAGGTACGGTCGCAGTTGGCGCACCAGTTTTAACTGTGCGAATGCTCCCCTGGTCACCGCCGAAACCTGGGGTTCCAGGCTCAGCAATGAGTCCAGGATCACACCCAAACTGCGAACCTGCGTCTTCAGGGGGAGTGCGACCCCGTCCAACACAGGCTGTAACCCTATACCCTGTTCGGCCTTGTGACTAACCAGGAGTACCTCTGTCTTGTCTGGATTCAATTTCAATTTGTTCGCCCCCATCCAGACCGTCACAGCGGCCAAGCACCGGTTCAGGACCTCGACAGCCTCCTTAGTAGCAGGTGGAAAGGAGTGACAGAGTTGGACATCATCCGCGTACACATGACATCGCACTCCGAAACTCCGGATGATCTCACCCAGCGGCTTCATGTAGATGTTAAACAACATGGGAGACAATATTGAACCCTGAGGAACCCCACAAGACAAAGGTTGTGGGGTTGAACAGGAGTCTCCCAGTAACACCTTCTGAGACCGACCCTCCAGGAATGAGCGGAGCCACTGCAAAACAGTACCTCCAAGACCCATCCCTGCGAGGCGTCCCAGAAGGATACCGTGGTCGACGGTATCGAAGGCCGCTGAGAGGTCCAGCAGCACCAACAGGGACACACTCCCCCTGTCGAGCTCGCGCAGATCATCCACTAAGGCGACCAAGGCTGTCTCGGTACCATGCCCCGGCCTAAAGCCAGACTGTGCCGGATCCAGATAATCCGTGTCTACCAAGAATGCCTGGAGTTGTGAGGCCACTACACGTTCCAGGACTTTGCCCAAAAAGGGGAGATTGGAAACAGGCCGATAGTTGACGAATTGAGTGGGGTCCAGTGATGGTTTTTTCAACAGCGGTTTTATCACAGCTTGCTTTAAGCTGGCTGGAATTTTGCCTTCCCGAAGGGAGGCATTAACCACCACCTTCACCCACTCGGCCAATCCCCCTCTGGCCTTCTTCAGAAGCCAGGATGGGCAGGGGTCTAGGATGCATGTGGTAGCTCTCATTCCTCCAAGCACCTTGTCCACATCCTCGGATTGAACCAATTGAAATGAATCCATCAAAACCGGACAAGCAGGTGCTCGTGTTACATCCTCAGAGACTGCCGTTAATATGGTATCCAGACCAGAGCGGATCAAAGCGACTTTGTCTGCAAAGAACTGAGCAAAGGCTTCACAGCGAGCTGCCGAGTCATCAGGGCACCCATCCTGCATGGTGGGTTTTAACAGGCCTCTGACAACTTGGAACAGTTCAGCCGGACGGTTCTTTGCAGACGCAATAGTGGCCGCAAAGAAAGTCTTCTTTGCGGCTTTTATTGCCGCGGCATATGCCCTTAAAAAGGACACAAACCGTGTTCGATTTGGCTCGCTCGGATCCGAACGCCACACGCTCTCTAGTTCCCTCTTCTTTCGCTTCAACGCTGCCAGCTCCTCAGTGAACCAAGGAGCTGGTTTAGCTCGGCTACTTGAGAGGGGACGTTCTGGAGCGATCGTGTCTATTGCCCTAGTCATCTCCCCATTCCAGAGAGCGACCAGGGCATCAACAGGATCACCAACCGAGGTGGCGGGAAATTCCCCAAGAGCCGTCAGGAATCCATCCGGATCCATAAGCCTCATGGGGCGGACCAACTAATGGGTCCTCCACAATACATTACAAGCTTTGGTTCCATCTGCATTTGCATTGTCCTTCAAAAACACATTTCAGACCACTTACATTGTCATGCTTAAAAAAACACAACATCTTCAGTTCACGGAAGACCCTTTTGCAAGAGACCAGATTTTGGAAGACGTTGGGCATCTTTTTGAGTGCAACTCTCTTTCCATCTCGTGGATCTGTGACTGACCTAAAGAGGGAATAAAAAACAAGAAGATTCAGCAACAAAACTGGTTTAAAGCAAGTTCGATCCTCCTTCCTAAGAAAAAACAACTGTCAAAATATTTTAGAGATGTCAAAGCAGCAAATCAAGAAATATGAGTAAAATTCCTGAACTGGTCTTGTTGCATTTCATGCTTTGAATTACCGTATATACTCAAGTATAAGCAGAGTTTTCAGCCCTTTTTAAGGCCAAAAAAGCCCTCCCCCCCCCCCGACTTATACTCGAGTCAAAGTTATTTATTATTTTACTGGGTTATTATTATAATTATTACATTTATTATTTTACTATTACGATTATTATTACACTGACATTACTTTATTATTATTACATGTATTATTCTACTCTATTTATTGTTACTATTACATTTATTATTTTACTTTATTATTGCTGTTATTATTACATTTATTAGTTTATTCTATTGTTATTGTTATTACATTTCTATTATTTTACTCTATTATTATCACATTTATTATTTTACTTTATTATTGTTGTCATTATTACATTTATCATTTTATTCTATTATTATTGTTATTTTTACATTTCTATTATTTTACTCTATTAATATCACATTTATTATTTTACTCTATTATTATTGGAAGGATATGTACTGTAAGCACATTTACATTGAAAAAAGTTAGAATAATGGTTTAATCAGAGTTGGACAGTCTTATCTTTAATTACAGTTTTATGCAAATATTTATTTATTTATGGCAATTCTACCCTGCCTTTCTCACCCCGGAGGGTACTCAAATTAATTAATATTCAAAATCATTAAACGTATGGATGCCTCAATTAATGTAATTTTATTGCTATCTATTTTTATTTTGAAATTTCCCAGTAGTTGCTGCATTTCCCACCTTCGGCTTATACTCGAGTCAATACATTTTCCCAGTTTGTTGTGGTACAATTAGGTGCCTTGGCTTATATTCGGATCGGCTTATACTCAAGTATATAATAATAATAATAATAATAATAATAATAATAATAATAATAATATTTATTTATTTATTTATTTAAAACATTTATATTCCGCCCTTCTCACCCCAAAGGGGACCCAGGGCAGAACACAGCATATACACGGCAAACATTCAATGCCAGGACACAAGTTCACATACAATACATAAACATTAAAAACATTTCTCAAAATATTAAAATACACCATTGATAATAATAATAATAATACTTTATTTATACCCTGCCACCATCTTCCCAAGGGGAATCGGGGCAGCTTACATGAGGCCAAGCCCAACAACACATCAATAAAACAACAAACCAGTAAGCAAATAAAACAATACAATTAATATAACTCATATATAGGCAATAACACACAAAAATTTAAAACCTATAACCGGGCCAGATGTAATAGATTAAAATTTTAAAATAAACACTGGGTGTGAACAGAGGTAGAATGTTTCTAAGCAGGAGGGTTTTAAAGGATAGTGTAGAGAGATCAATCCAACTGGTAGATAAAGTGCTTCTGAGGACATTTTGCAGGGAATATACAGTAAGTCAGTTCCAAAAGTACTACAGACATATTACAAACCTGTGTATTATTCAGTTTAAAGATTTTACAGGCACTCTGGCCTCTGGTGTCCAATCAATAAATGGAAGTATCTCATTGCTTATATTTTCTTCTCTTTAATTATTCTATTAGTCCTAGGACACCTTTCGCATTACAATCCTTTGCAATATTTAAATGCTACAGTACATTGCCTTTCAACATCGCCTGCTAACAAGATTAATTCTGTATGTAAATGCTGGAAAAGGTTGCCTCTTCTGCAGCAGATTAGACCCTAGTGCAGATATTCTAGTGTAAAGGAATAGGCAATCCATCAACTTCATTTCCTAAGGATGTCCCTGAACCGCATGTGGATTCATAGGTACTCATAGGTAATGGAGATAGCAACAACTGGATGCCCTCCCTTCACTTTGAGGCAACACAAATGCCAATAAAGATGGTACAGCTTCAGACAAGCAGGATGCCACAGTGATGCATACAAGCACTTTGCTAAGATGTCCAAAATGACCATAACAGATTAGATGTGGTGCAGGCTCCTAGTGACTAGATCGGTGTTTCTCAACCTTCCTAATGCTGTGACCCCTTAATACAGATTAATTTTACATTTAAAACTGAACAAAACATGCAGAATAATCACAGGATGTCTCAAACCTATGCCTGTTGATAATGCTCTACAACAGCCATGGGCAAACTTTGGCCCTCCAGGTGTTTTGGACTTCAGCTCTCACAATTCCTAACAGCAGATTTTTAACCTTCCTGATGCTTCACCCCTTAATGTAGTTCCTCCTGTTGTGGTGACCCCCAACCATAACATTATTTTCATTGCTACTTCATAACTGTAACTTTGCTACTGTTATGAATCATAATGTAAATATCTGAGATGCAGGATGTATTTTCATTCACCGGACCAAATTTGGCACAAAGACGCGATACGCCCAAATTTGAATACTGGTGGGGTTGGGGAAGGAATTGATTTTATCATTTGGGAGTTGTAGTTTCTGGGATGTATAGCTTATCTACAATCAAAGAGCATTCTGAACTCTACCAACGAGGGAAGCGAACCAAACATGGCACACAGAACTCCCATGACCAACAGAAAATACTGGAAGGGTTTAGTGCAATGGAATATAGGAACACGATGCAATCGAACATTTATTTATTTGTCGTGTCAGAACAACCAGTCAAATTATATTACATTTCTAACAGAACAAAGCAAACAAGCAGATTACAAAATTTGTGAGTATGAGAGTTGATTAAATGTCCTTTGACCAGTATCTGGCCACTTGGAGTGCCTCTGGTGTTGCTGCAAGAAGGTCCTCCCTTGTGCATGTGGCAGGGCTCAGGGTGCATTGCAGCAGGTGGTCAGTGGTTTGCTCCTCTCCACACTCGCATGTCGAGGATTCCACTTTGTGGCCCCATTTCCTGAGGTTGGCTCTGCATCTCGTGGTGCCAGAGCGCAGTCTGTTCAGCGCCTTCCAAGTCGCCCAGTCCTCTGTGTGCCCAGGGGGGAGTCTCTCATTTGGTATCAGCCATTGGTTGAGGTTCTGGGTTTGAGCCTGCCACTTTTGGACTCTCGCTTGATGAGGTGTTCCAGCGAGTGCCTCTGTAGATCTTAGAAAACTATTTCTAGATTTAAGTCATTGACATGCTGGCTGATACCAAACAGGGGATGAGCTGGAGATGTCTCTGCCTTGGTCCTTTCACTATTGGCTGCAATCGAACATAGGAATATGGAACAAGGATTACGAGAATGGATTCTGATTTGTTGTTGAGGCGCTATGATAATGATTGTTTATTGATATTGATTGTTATGTATAATGTATAATGTGTTTTAATTTGCCTATGATACTGTCCTGTGATAACTTGGATTATGTAAACCGCTTTGAGTCGCCTAAGGGCTGTGAAAAGCGGTATAGAAATAAAATAAATAAATAAATAAATAATAGTGGGCATTGACTTTGAGAGTTGTAGTTCACCTACATCCAGAAAGCATTGTGGATTCAAAACAATGATAGATCTGGACCAAACTTGGCATGAATACTCAATATGCCCAAATGTGAACACTGGCGGGGATTTGGGGAAAATAGACCTTGACATTTGGGAGTTGTAGTTGCTGGGATTTATAGTTCACCTACAATCAACGAGCATTCTGAACCCCACCCAGTGATAGAATTGGGCCAAACTTCCCATACAGAACCCTCATGTCTTGGAGGGACTCACTGGTGCGAGCCGCCCTCCAGCCTCGCACACTCTCCCTCACCCGCACATGTGCACCACATTCTCATGTGCCAAGCCTGCCTGCTCTTTCCTCCCCGCTTCGAGTCTGAGAACAGCCCTCCCCTTGGCTGAGAGGTCGGCCAATCACAGCAGAGGAGGGCTTTTGGTGGGAGGATTCGTGTCTGTTTCCAAAAAAGAAGAAAAGGACTTGCTGAGAGAGCTTCAGCCATCTCTGCCAAAGGGGTTCCTAAGACCATTAAAATATATGTTTTCTGAAGGTCTGAAACCCCCCTGCAACCCCCCCCCCCGGGGTCCCAACCCCCAGGTTGACTAGATCAAGGGAAGTCATAGCCCCCTCTATTCTGCTTTGATCAGACTTCATTAATTCTACTCCAAGTGGAATAATTCCTGTTGGTGAAAAATGTATCTGCCAGATACCAGTAGTTTGTTGTGCAATGCCCTACTAATTCTTTCCAAAACTGTTGACTATTAACTGTGCTTATTTAAAAGAGGCCATTCTCTTATAAACAGGAAAAACTTATTTCTAAAACATCTGAAACAGACGTCAGAAAAACTCAGTATCTTACAGGACGTCGGCACAACTACTCCGAAATACTGGACTTTGGCCTGCCGTTATTTTAAGGCTAAACTGGAAAATCGCAAAGCAACATTTCATTTAATTATTCATACAAAGACTAGCCATGCTTGTAGCTGGTGGCAATATAACCCTAATGAATGTGAATGGCAATGCAGTAATTTCACGCCATGTTGAGTTTGTTCTCTCTTAACTCGGAGTAGCAGCTGCTTTGGTTCAGCACAAATAGTACCAGAAAACAGAGATAAGTGCTGAAGCCTGTTACACAGGAATGCTTTTATTTTCTTTGTTGCTGAAAAGGCTTGCTGTGCCGAGCTCTTGCACCAGTTATCCCCATCTGTATGAGCTAATGAGTTACAAGCGGCAAAGATAACAGCCAGCGCTGACAGTACTTTCCAATGTCTCTCTCTCTCTCTCTTTTTTTAAGGACGCCCATTGTAACAAGTCCGGACAGAGTGGTTTTTCAAAATGCCAAACTTCGACATCATAAATAGGACTATTACGCTGTTCATAACAGGGCGATCCCCAGTGAAGGGAGCGGGTGAGAAAAGAATGCCTTGTTATAGTCCAAATGCACATGGAAAATTAATTTGTGCAATGCCCAAGGGACAAAAATGCTACATGACACCTGAAAGT